AAGGTACATGACTGCTAAAAAACAAAGCAAAATAAAAATAAGGATTCCTCACCCCGAGCTTTTGGGGTGATCCAGCATAGAACTACCTTGATTTGATTCATGAAATCCATTATAAACTGTGGGCTTCAGAGACCCAAAGGAGATAAGACTCCAATACTTTAAGCCACTAAATATGTAGTCATTGTTACTAAAATTGTACTAGAACTGCACTCATTTCAGATAATTTTCTATGGACTATGGCAATAGGTATACAATTTTAAAAAGCCCATTAGATAGTCACTGTGCACAGGATATATGCAGTTTTGAATACAGACATCTTTAAACTCCTACTAAAAGGACTATTTTCATTTTAATCCCACAGGTAACAAAACTAGCATTTAAGTAAGCAAGAGTAAGGGTTTCTTTGTTTTGTTTTCCCTGCTCACTAAAGTTGTGCAGAAGGACACACAAGCCTCACCATTTACAAATGATATGTTCCTGACTCAATGCAAATTTCAGTTAATTTCCATGAGGTTGCAGTATTGGCTGATTCTTCTGTTTTGTTTTCATTCCAGCATTTTTAATTTATCTTCTAAACTTAAGTTGGCATAACTTAGCAGGCCACATTAATTTCTGAGCAAAGAAACCATGTGTAATAACACAAAGCCTTTCTTTTTAATACAAATTGGATTAATCTCAAAACCTTAGGCAAAACAGTGGAGCTTCCTATTAAGTGTTTCTTGTCGTTTGCTACTGCTGTCTGTCATTTAAATGCCCCAAATATGCATATGCATACCTTTAATTTAGCAAAGGGATACATGGAAAGTCTGTGAAGTTCAGGTACCTGAAAATGTTAGCTGTCTGTTGTAGTGGTATTTTGTTAGTGCTTTAACAAATAAAACTTACCTGAACATCTGAGTAAGGACCTAAGCCATTAGTTAACCATAGAGGCCAGGCAGTGGTGGCACACACCTTTAATCCCAGAACTTGGGAGGCAGAGTTCAAGGCTACCTAGGGCTGCAGGAGATTGATCCAACCTAAAAGAAAAGTAGAGCCAGGCAGTGGTGACTCATAACTTCAATCCCAATACTTGGGAGTCACACACCTTTAATACCAGCACTAGGGAGTGGAGACAAAGGGATGTGGCTGGACAGAGAGAGGAATATAAGGTGGGGGTCATAGAAGCTCAGAGCATCAGGCTGAGGACTCCTAGAGAGAGAAAACTGCATATATCCTGTGCACAGTGACTATCTAATGGACTTTTTAAAATTGTATACCTATTGCCATAGTCCATAGAATTTGGTCTAAGGATTGTTAGGGACAGAGTAGCCCCTTTGGTCTGACGGTTCAGTAGAGGTAAGGACCAGTGACTGCTCTGCTTTTGTGATCTTTCAGCATTACCCCTATCTCTGACTTGGGGTTTTTATTATTAAGACCAATTAGAATTTGCTCTACAGTCTGTGCTTCAGGGCATGGGCTGCCTGGATATTAAGTTTTGCCCTCACAATCAAAATTTATTCAAAAAGTATACAGAACCGATGGCTGTGGAAAAAAGTAAATATTACTCTACTGTTATATCTCCCGTATCATTTGTATAATCATAAAAATTAACCACATAGGTGAAAATATAGAAATAGAACTGAGTGTCTAAATTGTTGCTTTCTTTTCCTTCCACTCTTCCTCCTGGGTTTCCATAGGCAGTGACTTTTGCATATTTCTGTTGTTAATTTATTCTCTAGGTCACTGCCAGATCTCTAAAGAGCATCCCCAGATCCCTAAATAATTTGGTTTTCTTTTCTCACTTGTAGGCACTAGCTACTAGCCTCACGTACATGACCCTACACCCTGTGTCCTGGTCATCTGTGACCCTCCCTAGTCAGCTCTGAGACCTCCATTTCTTAGTCTACTACACACACCCCCTTCTCTGAAATAACTAAGGGCAGTGCCTCCTCTCTTTTTCTAAAATAAGTACATTTGTGTGCTGACCCTGCTACGCATATCTCCCTCTATTTATTTATTTCTCAGTACCCTTCGATGGTGTTTTCATTTTCATGGCTGTCAGCCTTCATACTGTTCCTCCTGAGTTTTCATCTACTATCTGCAGGTTTTCTTAACTATCAGTCATTCTTTCTGGAGAACTCCCTGTCCTTGTGGCCTGAAGAGGCTTCCCTCCAACCTTCACACACTGCTGCTGCTCTGGGGCTTCCCTTCCTTCGCTGTTCTAAGCTGTATTTACTCTTGTATGGGCTCTGGTTCTCCTCCTTGACTTACCTCTTCAGTTTGCTAAAGAACTACTTTCAGAGTCTTCTGATGTCTATGAGTTTCTAAATTCTTCTTGCATATTTATTTGATGGGTCTGCTGCAAATAGAATTCATTTGACAGCCACTATTGCCAGCCCGATTTCTGAATGTTGAAATGCCCCATTTATTGATGTTCATTTTCCTTTCTGGAGGCATTTAGTATCTTCTCTTGTTTCTCAGCATTTTAAACTTTAGCAGCGTTGTATTTCAGTGCAAGTGTATATGGTGACGTTTGCGAAGCATTCACAGACCCCTCTGCACCTAGAGTCTGATCTCGCCTCATGAAAGTCTTCCTCTGCACCTAGAGTCTGATCTCCCCTCATGAAAGTCTTCCTCTCCTCCCTGCCTAACTTTAGCCACAAATCTGCCCTCTTCCATTGGCCATGCCTGGTGGGGGTGGAGGATGGGGGGTGTTTAATCGGCTACTCCTGCAGTGTAGATTGTGTATCCTTCACACCTCTGCTTGACCCAGTCCTTAGTCTTACTTAAAGTTACAGTTCCCCACTGTGTAGCCACTCCTAATCTTTCTATCTTGATTTAATTTTCTCCATGGTTACCTGCCGCTAATTTACACATGAAATAGAAATACATGCCAACTCACATATTCTTACATATATTTGTGTGTAGGTTTATATGTGTTTGTGCATGTACATATACTTTCTGTGAGTTTGCTTTGACCACCATGGCAAGGTGCACCTAGTAACTGATGCATTAGTGACAGGCTGCAAGTCTGAGACACTGCTGGGACTGGCTTCTCCTAAGGCCTCCTCCATGGTTGCAGACCTTCTTTCCCTTTGGCTTACATGTTCCTTTGGTCTCTGTGTCTAAGTTTCCTCCTGTAATGATATTAGCTAAATTGGATTAGTGCATCCTGTCCAATGATTGGGTTTTAACTGAATTACCTCATTAAAGAGCCTATTTCCAAACTCAGTTCTATGCAGAGACTGTGTGTTTACACACTGTTGTGTAAGTCTAAGGCATGGTTCAGTCACTGGCATACTCATCTTTCCATAATTAGTGTTCCTGAGATAATTGTGAGAATATTTGTGAAAATAAAGGTTCCCCCCACCAGGTCTCTGGACTTATTATTTTTGATAATTTTCAGTTTTTAAAAAAATGTATTCTTCTCTCATACATTGCATCCTGGCTGTAGTTTCTCCTCCTTCCACTAGGAGAGTGGTGGGGGGGGATAATTTTTAAGTTACTTTGAGACCAATATAATTGCGTCATTTCCTCCTTCCCTTTCCTTCCTCTCATTGCCCTGCACAGCTCTCTCTCAGATTCACAGCTTTTTCTTTAGTTGTTCTTACCGGGTGTGTTCCTAAATTTAAGAATGCAGCCTGCTCAGTCTATATACTTTACTTGATGTGTCTTTGGGGCTGAACATTTGTTATTGGCTATAGTGTGCTTTTCCCTGGGGCCTTCAGAGACAAGGTAACCTGTCTGTGTAACCCTGGCTAGCTTAGTATTCACTGTGTAACCAAGTCTGGCATCAGACTCAACTCATAACAGTCCTCCTTCCTCAGACTTTGGGGTGCTAGGGCCAGAGGTTAAGATATCACACCACGTATTAAATTGTTAGTATTTACATAGTTTTGTTTTATTCATTGATACATATACCATATCTAGATAATACTCAGTATATAATAGATGATACAGGAATAGTAATGAATATGGTAGTCTCTTGGTAAGTTCCTTCCATCTGAAGCATCATCCTGTCCCATTTCTGGAAGGTTATCTTATTACATTGATTCAATTGCCATTGTCAAAAACTTCCGTGTATTATTTTTCTAATTTTGTTAATTGAATTTTGGACAAGCTTGCTTTGAATCCGCCTGTTGTCCTACTTTGAAGATGGGGGAGCGGGGGATTTGTTTCCATTGCCATCCAAGTGCTTCTACAGATACTCCTTATTTTGGCAACCGATGCTCAATTGCTATGAGCTGTCTTCTTGCTATTTTCTTATGATGTTGCTGTTTTATGAGTGATCCATCTTTGCTCATCTTTCTGTGTTTATTGTGTCATATTTTGTTCCCTGAATTGAATTGTCAGTTTTTTTCTAGGCCACAGTTTTGCTGTGTTCTTTTTCTTATGTATTGATTAATCATTTCCTGGGAATCCTCGGCCATACCTTTTTAGTCTATAATGAAACAACAATGTACAGGAGGTTTATTGTAAGGGTGGGAGCTTTTGCTACTAGTATCACACTGTGGGAAGCTGCTCTCACTCTAGAAGAGTCTTTTAAGGTCGAAGGCAAAGGTCTTTGGTTTCACAGCCCACAGCAGCTGCTTATGTCTCTACAAATTCTTTATCCCTTATTCTTGAGTAAATACCCTTTGATTTTTACCTGATAGCCCAACTTAGAGTATACAGAGTATGATCAATGATGTATTACGTCTGTTTTCAGTTAGTGTCTTTGCTTTCTCTTTCACTTCCGTGACTTAAAAACATTATCTGTGTTCTGCCCCTTCTTCCTACCCTTAGAAGAACAAACCCTCAACCAAATTCACTTTCTCTGACTTTCCCATCTTGGTTTATCTGGTAACTGTTTCTCACTCATCAGTGATAAACTATGTATAGGGTGCAGACAACCTCTGCATAGGGTCAGAAAACCAGCAGAATTACTGAGGCAGAGCAAGGCTGGCTTTTAATCTCCGTGACTCAGGTCCCTACTTTCCTTTTGTACCTAACTCACCTCTGCACTCTGCCATCACATATAGGTCTGCGATGAAAGCCTTGCGCCCTGGAGGACTACTCGTGTACTCCACATGCACACTATCCAGGGCTGAAAATCAGGATGTGATCAGTGAGCTCCTAACCTCCAGCAGTACCATGGTGCCCGTGGATATTAGTGCCATAGCAAGGACTTGCTCCCAAGATTTCACCTTTGCCCCGACTGGCCAGAAATGCAGTCTCTTGGTGATTCCTGAAAAGGGCAAAGCTTGGGGCCCAATGTTTGTAGCCAAACTGAAGAAAAGCTGTGAGTACAGGAAAATGGCCACCTGGATTTTGTAAACCTTGCTCATATGTTGTTATATATGTATTATTCGAACTGCCTACATATTAGTACTTAAATAGTTACAGAGCCACTGTCCCTAGGATCATTTGGAATCCTGTTTAGTGAGCACTTCAGCCTCCTAAAGCACAGGCTTAAGAATTTTTCAGGTACAATTTTATTCCTCAAAATATATCTATAATGATGCTTTAAATTGGGACAGATGGTGTTGGTTCTGTATAACCAATGTCTGGTTTTTTACTTGGTAAATTAATTGGGATGCATGCGTCTGTACATCAAATGCTTAGGACTGTATTCTATGGAATATTCTATGGTATTTAAACCTTTCTTTTAAAACTGGATCTGCCAACACTTACCATTTTCCCCATCAAATGTGCAGATTCTTTTTGTAAGAACAATTGGTATTCCAAGACTAACTTCTTAAGCAGCAGAAATTCTAGTTCTAGCAAAATAGGTTTCTTATTTGCAAAGTTGTTTTGTGTTAAGGACTCACTTCTGTTTACTGCAAAGGTCAGTGACTCTATTGACACCAGCTTTATTTCCCCCCATTTTCTCTTATTCACAAATAGAAATTGAAAGGGTAAATTATGTTGAAAGGCCTTTAGAACAACAGATTCACATGCACGAGTTTGACTTTCGACATTCAGCTTGTAAAATACTGCAGTCTATCCAGCAGGCTATAAAGCAAGCACTTGAAACAAAACCAGAATGATTAATAACGGCAATAACCGAACTATATTTGGAGTGTTTTGTTACATAATTGCAGTCATAATGAGTACTACAGAATCTGATTATCTTACAGTTGCAATCTGGAGGGGCTTTTTATTTCTCTTGATTATAAAATGTTATATGAGAGTGTGATGTCACATATTAATGCATGAGAGTGACATGCCTAATGAGAGTCAATTATCTGTTACCAAGACCCCAAACCATTCACTGAGTGGCTCTCTCTATTTATATGTATCCCAAGAGTTTTGTGCATGCTTCTATATATGCTTGGGATTTTAGAATCAATTTTCAAGCATGGATTTTACTTTAGAAATTGTTTCATTTGGATCCAAACAGATTTTTTTCAACTATTAAGAAAATCATGCAGGTAGACATGGCAGTGCATTTGGGAGCCTGAGGCAGAAGTATCCCAAGTTCAAATCCAGCCTAGGCTGCATAGCAAGACCCTCTTAGCAAGGGGTAGGGAGGACAGAGGGAGGGATTAAAGGAGGGTAGCCTAGAGCATGAGAGAAAATTACCAAGCATACGTGAAATTAGAAATTAGCTTTTTACATTTTTTAAGATTTATTTACTTTTAGTTTTCATGTATGAATGTCTTGCCTGCACGTGTGTTTATGTACCACATGAATGCCTGATGCCTGAAGAAGTCAAAACAGGGCTTCGGTTACCCTAGAACTGGACATATGGATGGCTGTGAACCACCATGTGTGTACTGGGAATCCAACTCTGATCTTCTGCAAGAGTAACAAGTACTCTTAGTTGCTAAGCCTTCTCTCAAGCCAAACATGCCCTTTTAAAAAAAATCAGCTATGGAGCTATGGAACACAAAATTTCCTGGAAGCAGAATGGTATTGTTTGTCCCTTCTGTTCATTAAGCTATTCAGTATATACATTTTGTTTTGCAAGCCTGTGTATGTGGATTCAAATAAGTGGAAAAATCTAGGAGCAATTATGCCGCTGCCTTTGTTTTCTACAATATTTTAAAGTCTATCTGACCAGTGTGTTTAAGGTAATAATTTATTTCTTGGGCCCATCAAATGTATTCAGTTAATATCAAAGATTAATGACAGAAAGTGCTTTGTTTATTTTGGTTTGAGTTAGTGGTTTGTCTTTCTGATTGAAATTCTGTCTTTGGATTCCGTAGTTTTCCAAGTGCATTTCTTTTGTGTAAGTTAACCACTATGTAAATTTTCACAGTACAAGGTGTTGAATGTCATTATTTTTCCTGTATAATGTCAAGAAGCTTCAATTGAACACAAAGCGTGGTACTGAACTCAACTTTCCCGGGACTAATGAAAAATACCTATGTATTTATTACATATATTTATATTATTATTAAGATGACTGTAACAAAACAGGCCAACATTGATTGAGGATTAAATGGTTAATTGGAGTCTTTATGTTGTTTATTTTGATCTTATAGCCATGGGCTAGGAAGGGTGGTGGTGTGTGTCAGTAATCAGCCCTTGGGATGCAGAGACCTCCCAATGTCTGGCCACAGATGGAGACACTGTCACAAAACAAGCAATGGAATAAGCAGCAGCTGGCGGTGAGTTTGTGTTTGTGTTCCTCTGTGTGGATGAGGAAAGCAAAGCTCAGTGTCACTTGTTTGTCAAGGACAATGGCAACTTAAGAAGGGGACCCAAATGAGAGCTGGCTCCATTGCCAGCCCCTCCTCTGTCACAGTGCTGTCCCACCCCATATGGATTATAGAACTTTCAAGATTATCAGCTGCCTTATGCCTATTCTCCACTATTCAGTTTCCTGTTTATGCACAATTCCCTATTCCCAGAGTATCAAAGGCTTTGTCAATACTTGGGGGAAGAAAAGCCTTGAGATATTTCAATCCTTTTCTGAGGAAGTGTGTATTGTGGTTGTAATACTAAAGAATCTCCCATGGAGGTATATTTTGCCTCCCTCTCTGTAAAAGATGGTGAGCTGAAAATTGGAAATTTGGACAGCCTTTCCATTTCCATTGAGAATTGAGGAATAATTGGTGCCACTTTCTGTGGCACATGGTCACTTTGAAAACAGTTTCATGAAAATTTAAGTTACCTAACAACACATTAACTTCTCCCTGCCATCAGCACCCTGGGCAGCCAGTAGTTTCACAAATAGATTACGAATACATGCCATGCATTTAAATGGTTTGTACTGAATTTTTAAAGAAAAAGATACGATTTGTGATTTGAAGTCAAGGTGGCCTACTATTCCTTACACTATTACATATATCCATTTAGCTTTATACTTAAATTACATATTATTCCCTTAGTGGTACTGTGAAAAATACGCTTTCATATAATGTGGGTAGGTATAAAATAATGGCTACCTGAATACATGGTGCATGAATAAATAATGAAGGCCTAATAGACCTTTATTCAAGAAGGTATGCCTGGTCAGAAGCATCAGGTCATCTGTATAGGCTAATGCAACTCATCTGAAATACAAGAGAGAAACCGAACAAATAATGACAATTGCATTACATGCCACAGTCCTTTGATGCAATTGAATGGGACTACTGGTATTATGTGTTAGGTAAATTTGACTTTAGGGACAAATAGAGCAGATAGCACAATTTGTTTTCAACTTGTCTGTATGGTTGAAATCAATGGTTTACAATCTCCCTTTCCTTGCTTATTGCTGCTCTGGGGTTGGAGGCAAGGATGAGACCCATGCCTGATGTTCCTCTCCAGACTGACAGTGGGACTGTAATATCTCTTGATCCCTGGGGCACCTACAGAAGACTCAGATGGAGGCTCACAAGTTAAATACTGTATACTATCAGCTACTGCTAGTCTGCTAGTGCTGAGAGCTCCAGCACAATCTGTACTAAAAATATTAACTGGGATGTCATGATTTGGAATGGCTTCAGGCTGTAGAGTCATTGGGAGAGAGAACTCCTATCATGACAGAATGGTTTCTATTAACATGACAAGTGACATTTTATAATAAAATTTAAACTTAAAAAGGGTTGATTTGGAATTCTCTTAAGAGACTCACTAAACAACTAAGCAAACATACACTTAAAAAGGGGCCTGTAATCCAATGCTAATTAAAAAAAATGTGTTTCCTCACATCTAAGGAAGATTAGCTTGGTAGAACATGTACCTCTTTAAAATTTAATTCAGTAACTCTAATATTAGCTCCATACCTCTGTAACTTTTTGTAAGTGAAGAAATTCACTTCCTTAGGCATATAAGACCACACAGTCACGAAGAAACCCTAGGATAGCATTTGCTACCTCAGGGAAAGGACTGTTTGCCTCATTGGAAGCCATTTAATAGGATACGTCATGACTCAATTAAGCTTGCTATGGCTTGTCAAAAGGAATTTTCCACCTCATAGTGCTATGTAAGAGCCTATTACATATGAATAACTACCACACCACAGGATAAACAGGCTGAAAATGTACATTTCACTAAGGAATAAGAAACAGGACCATAGATCCCAACTTCAGTCTAGGTTTTTAAAATAAATTTGTTTCTTTATTTTATACCACAGCCATAATTTCCCCTCCTTCCTCTCTCAGTCTCTCCCCTACAATCCGTCTCTGTTACCAACCCCCAATCCACTCCTCCTTCATTTCTGTTTAGGAAAGGACAGGTCTCCCCTTAGTATCAATAAAGCATGGTTGCAGTAAGACTAAGCACCTCCCCATGGATTAAGGCTGGTCAACGTGACCCAATCTAGCATAGGCAAAAGCCAGGGGGATTAGTGATGGTGGGAGAGGAAAATAAGATGATTAGCCTGTGATTATTTTTGTATAAAACTTCTTCACTTACTCATCCAAAGGTATTATATTAGCCACCTTTCCAAAATGATCCATGAGGATGAGGGCCAGGGAAACGAGATGACTGGAGGCTGTGGGCTGACTCATGACATGATGCTCATAGGGAGGACTACAGAGTTCACCACTACCGACACTCAGGAGAAGGGTGTGGGGGTGACAATTATCTCTAATGTCACTAGAACCTACTCTGTGGCATTTTTAGTCACGGATATCCAGTATAATTACCTTCATCATATGGCCCAAGATAGCTAATCCTCTTAAACTAATCTGTATTTGGCATTTTCTCCGAGCCACCAACCAGCCCCCAAACAAAGACATGGAGATTTTTATAAATGCTTGGCCCTAGCGTAGGCCTGTCCTACCAGCTCTTCTAACTAAATTGAACCTGCTTCTATTCATCTACGTTTTGCCTCGGGCCTTTTTATTTTTCTTCCATTCTCTGTGTACTATTTTCCTGCTTCCTCCATGTCTGGTTGGCCAGCTCCAGGCATCTCTTTTTCTTTCTATATTTTTGAGCCTAAATTCCTCCTCCTACTTAATCTCCCTGCCTGAAAGTCCTGCCTATATCTCTTCCCTCACTATTCACTGTTCAGCTTTTTATTAGACCAATCAGGCACCTTAGGCAGACAAAGTAAAACAGCAACACATCTTTACATAATTAAACAAATGTAACACATCTGTACATAGTTAAACAGATATTCTGCAACATTAAAAAAAAGCAGGTCAGGCCCCCCGGGCTTGGGGTGCCCACCTTCACCATGGCTGGACACCTGGCCTCAGACTTTGACTTCTCACCCCACCTGGTGGGGGTGATGGGTCAGGAGGGCTGGAGTCGGGCTGGGAGAACCCTCGGACCTGGCTAAGCTTCCAAGGGCCACCAGGTGGGCCTGGAATCGGGCCAGGGGTTGGACCAGGCTCAGAAGTGCTGGGAATTTCCCCTTGTCCCCCACCATACGAGTTTTGTGGAGGGATGGCATACTGTGGACCTCAGGTTGGACTGGGTCTAGTGCAGCCTGGGGGCCAGGCAGGAGCAGGAGTGGAGGAGAGGTCCTCCCCTGGGCCCTGTAAAACCAGGCCCAGGGTCCCCGTGAAGTTGGTGAAGGTGGAACCGAGTCCCGAGGAATTCTAGGATGTGAGAGCTTTGCAGAAAGTAGTAGAACAGTTTGCCAAGCTTCTGAAGCAGAAGAGGATCACATTGGGGTACACCCAGGCCGATGTGGGGCACACCCTGGGCGTTCTCTCCAGAAAGGTGTTCAACCAGACCACCACCTGCAGCTTCGAGGCCCTGCAGTTCAGCTTCAAGAACTTGCGCAAGCTGCGCCCCCTGCTGGAGAAGTGGGTGGAGGAAGCTGACAACAATGAGAACCTTCGGGAGATATGCAAAGCAGAGACCCTGGTGCAGGCTCGAAAGAGAAAACGGATGAGCATTGGGAACCGTGTGAAGGGGAACCTGGAGAACATATTTTTACAGTGCCCAAAGTCCAGTCTGCAGCAGATCAGCGCCATCGCCGATCAGCTTGGGCAGGAGAAGGATGTGGCCCGAGTGTTGTTCTGTAACTGGCACCAGAAGGGCTAAGGATCAAGCACCGACTATGCCGGCTCTCCTTTCCCAGGGGGGCCTGTATCCTTCCCTCTGCTGCCAGAGCCCCATTTTGGTGCCCCAAGCTCCCGGAGCCCCCACTTCACCAAATTCTACTCTTCAGTCCCTTTTCCTGAGGTTGAGGCCTTAACCTCTGTTCCCATCACTGCTCTGGGCTCTCCCATGCATCCCTGCCTGGGGATGAGGTGAGCTGTGGCAAGGGAAGAGGTAGAGAACCTGGAGCCACCACAGCGTTGGGATTATGTTCCTTTACCGAGGAGGGATCGGAAGCACAGAATGGGGGGGGGGGGAGATAGGCATTCAGTCATCCTTAAGCCCGGGGCACATTAGATCACTTAAAAAAAAAAAGCTTGATTACAGCCCTAGACTATAGCAAATGTGTTTAAAAAATAAAGGAGTCTAACCACCTATCTTCTTCAGTAGAAGGTTTCTCTGTCAGCAAGGCACAGTAATCTGTAACTGCAGTCCCAGCCACACAAGAGACTGACATAGGAAGATCATTTGTGCTCAGAGTAAAAAAGACCACCCTAAGCGACATAGACACTGTTTAAAAAGCACATCTCTTTATATGCTTTTTATCTGTCCAGGAGACATAATATTAATTATCTCCTCCATATGAGGCTGTAGCTAGCTCATGCATTTTGTCTTAGGGTTTCTACTGCTATGAAGAGACACTATGACCATGGCAACTCTTATAAAGGAAAAACATTTAATTGGGGTGGCTTATATTTTCAGAGGTTTAGTACATATCATTATGGGTAGTGTACAGGCAGGCATGGTGATTAAGAAGTAGCTGAGAGTCCTACATACTGACTTGCAGACAACAGGAAGTAGTCTGAGACACTGGGCATAGCTTGAGCATATATGAGACCTCAAAACCAACCTCTACAGTGACATACTTCCTCCAACAAGGCCACAACCCCTAATTGTGCCACTCCCTTTGGGGGTCATTTTCTTTCAAACCACCACACATTTTTATTATTTAATTATAAGTATGTATATA